CAACCAGACCTCACGACACCACCAGGGAGGTCATCACCTGTGTACCCATTCATCTCATCACACATGAGGGTCCATCGCCCTTTTTCACCTGATTCACTGTTACTTTCCCTGGTCTATCCACCTCCATAAAGTCTGCGCCAGTCACTTGCGCTCCTTCCCTCCCTTTCTTTCCGTTCAGCATCACCCAGTTAGACACCCCGGTCTAACAACACAAGCAGTGCGCTTACCTATCAGTCTCCTTTTTCTAACTTTCTAGTCTAGAGAGTGGAGTATGGAACACAGCGAAGGGCACAGGCGTCCGAAGCTCCCAGAATTGCTGGGGTCTGATGGAGACATGTGCTTCTGGAGAAGTTATAATACCTCTTCTATTGCAGAGTCCTGATTTTTTATAGGGATCTGACGAGAGCTCCTTAAAGCCAAACGGCGGGTAAAATGATCATGTACACACCGCACAGGATATGTGAATGATCGTTGGTAAGCTGCGTGTTATTAGCAGAGGCCTCCCGCAAAGCAAAGTCTTACCTTGCAGCATGCCGGTTACTACACATAACGCCAAGCTTCCAGGCACTGAGGAACGTGACTCGAGCATTGAAGTGCTCTGGCCGCCTCACCTGCCCGTCCTCACTACTTGCCCGTTCACAAAATGCCTTTTTTTTTCTTCAAATACAATTTTCAATCAAAGCCGTCATTGGAGGGGGAGAGATGTCACATCCCCGTCTCCTTTTCTTTTTCTCCTCCAATCACAGAAGACTTTGGGGGGAATTGATCAAAACTGGAGCAGGCAGAATCTGGAGCAGTTGCCCAGCGTCTCTCTTCTGTTTGCTCAGGTAAGATTTGAAACGGAGACAGAGAAGCTGATTGGTTAGAGTGCAAATCTGCTCCACATTTTGTCTGCTCCCGTTTTGATAAATTCCCCTCATTGTATTCATTGCAAAGATTCAAGGTCTTTTTGTGAATGGGCAAGTAGTGAGGAGAGGCGAGTTATGTGACTGGAGCACTTCACTGATCGAGTCACATCCCTCAAAGCCAAGAAAAATGGAGTTATATGTAAGGCTTCAGTCACACCAGATACAGTGCGTTTCGGCCCGATTCTGGCCAGAACGCATTGCAGCCGGCTCACTATGTTGTAGGGCAGGAGAGGGCATGATGGTCTATTGAACTGAATGGCACTGTAGCCACACCCTCCGGCCGCACGGGAACGCAAGGCACATTATGCATGCGGTCCGGTCTGAACAAAATAGTGCTTGCAGCATTTTGTTTGGACCGGACCGCAGGCATAATGTGCCTTGCGTTCCCGTGCGGCCGGAGGGTGTGGCTACAGTGCCATTCAGTTCAATAGACCATCATGCCCTCTCCTGCCCTACAACATAGTGAGCCTGCCGCGATGCAATGCGTTCTGGCCAGAATCGGTCTGGTGTGAATGAGGCCGTACGCTGCAAGGTAAGATTTTAAAGCAGTTTACTCCTCCGTAGACAAAGAATACCTGGCATTTCAGGTATGTGAAGCATGCGACAGCGCTCATGGCTGTGAGGAGTATAAGGGGGTGTTTGGATTCCCTTTGCAGAGTCACGGTCACTTTGCCTTCCATGAGCAACGGAATGTCTGTTTACAGGAGAAGTACTGGGAGAACATGAAGGCTGTCTTTGCTGATCCTTGCCTCTAAAAAGTATACTTGTCTGAATGCTATTATCATCATCCAATGGCTTCAATACTCTGACATCTAGAAATATTAATTGGGCATGAGCACCTCATTTGCACCAAGAACAAAGAGCGGTTAACCCCTGCAGCAGTGCGATGGTAGCCCTCTGCAAGGGTAATAACATTTTTACCCAGAGTTCTTCTTTAAGGATGTACTGCATCACATTGGTGGTTGTGGCTCATAGCTAGGATGACCTTAGTCGGCTCCGTTTGTCAGCTTGTGCTAGAGCTGAACTGTGAGTTAATGGCAGTCCTGTGTGTGTTCTTATCTGTCACCAGCAGAAAGTCCTTTTTAAATAGCCTAAAGGGCACTTTCCTCTCTTGTTTGCCAGTCAGCATGACTCCATTTCATTGAGACGGACACAGTAGGCTTTATTTCCCAGCGGCCTTGTTTATGACTGCAGAAGAATTGTTTTTGTACCCCATACAATTTTTTAATAGGAAGTGATAGATTATTCTGCTCTCCAGCACTGCTTGGCCAGCTAGCATGCTTTTTCCGACTCCTAATCTGCATTGCGCTACTGGTGGATGAAGGGAATCACCTCTGATCTTCCAGCTTATTAGATCAGCTCCTTCCGGCTTCCCCTTTTTAAGTTGTTTTTTTTTGTATGGCATCAGTGAACTAGAATGTGATTAGCAGCAGTTCAATTACACTGTGCATTGTATGACTCAAGTCATTAAAATCAGGTGCCCTCCCAGGCTGTGCATCCACGGTGCCCCCCCCCCATGTGGCCAGCTACTGGACTAGTGTGGAGATCATGCAAACCTAGGCGGCAGCCATTAGTACTGACTAATGCTGTCAGCTTTTATCTACAGGCCTGCACTGGTCTGTAGAGGCCAATGGTAGAAGCCATCATTGCCGCCCCAAAAAAGTTTTTGGGTGTTTTTTTCCAGAAAGTTCTTTGTATCTGCCACATATTTTACACTGCCTGTGGCTTGTGCACCGTGTTCTGTTCACCCCGGGCAAATCAAATCTTAACCCTTGCAGTGGGGCTACTCCCACATTGCAAGGGTTAAGTGCTCGTTTTTGCCTAGGGAGCTCAAATAACAAAGTTATACTCGTCCAAGCCACAATCCCAGCTTGCTCTTAGACTGCTGCCTTCAGCCTGTCTCCTGCTCCAGCAATGGAATGTTTCTCGGTGCCCTCATGTCCTATACACTCTATTGGATGCGATGACTCTCCAGGACTAGGGACACGCCGAAACAGAATATTTGGGCAAGTACTTGTACTCGCCCCGAATGCTCCGATACTTATCCTGATACCGGAACTTCCACTCAGAGGGAGATTTCCTCTGATCGGCAGTGCTGCGAGGGGACATGGAGCTGGCTTCCCAGCCAATCGGGAAGCTGGGTTGTGGGTAATGACTCGCGGCCCGCCTTCTTGATTGGCGGGGATGCTGGCTTCCCAGCCAATCAACATCGAGCAGGCCAAACAGCATGGAGCTGGCTACCTGGGCAATCAAGAAGTCGGGCAAGGGGTAATGATACGCTGTCTGGCTTCCTGATTGCCTGGGAAGCTGGCTACCGGAAGTACTGGTATCGTTACTCTGTATTGGTGAGTACCGGAGTATAAATATTGATACTTGATAGCAAAAAAAATCTTCTGTGCATCCCTACTCGGGACCCTAGACCTCTGGACAAGAGGAAGAGACAGGCTGCAGGGATCGGTCTAAGAGCAAACCAGGTCCTGGACATAATGAGCACGTAACCCTTGCAATGCCGAGGTAACCCCACTTCAAGGGTTAACATGTGATTTGCCCAGAGTTCTGCATTAAGTCCAGCATGCATGCACGGTATCCTAAATGGCTGACCAGTGACTGCAGAAAGAGGTGTTTGGCTACAGCTTGCTCCAGACCCAGCATCTTCTGATCAGACTTTGCATCTCTGGATCTGCTCAAACTCAGTTTCTTACAAAAGAAAAACTTCAACACTCTCCAAATCTAGAACACCTCATGCATGAGAGAGTTGAGGGCATTAAAGGAGAACTATGGGGTAAGTGTTTTTCCCCATAGTTCTCCTAAGGGTAACGGGAGGACATAAACTAGCATCCTCCCATCACCCAAAGCTCAGTATACCGCGAGCTACAGCTCGCGGTATATGGAGACCACCGCAGCCGGAGCGGATCACGACATTACTGTCTGGATCCACCCAGCTGCGTGAGTGACAGCTAGCTCTACCTATCTAGAGGCAGAGTCAGCTGTGCCGGCCCCCCTCTCCCGTTCGTTCCTCCAGTCAGCGCTGTGGCATCGGAGGAATGAATCCCTGCTGGGAGCCGTGAGTGACAGTCACGGCTCTCTGCAGGGAGATGATCGAGAAGCGAGCGACAGTATGTGTTCGCTCACTTCCCGAACTATTGAGCTGACATGTCACAGTTTCATTGTCGCACGTCGGCTCGAACTATGAGGATGAGTGAAAATCACTCGCCTCATAGTTCTCCTTTAAGAGTTAATTTAGTCCCTGTTTATACTTGGATATATCGAACGCACAAAACGCTTGTGGTGCCATTACTAGTTAATTGCACCCCAAATGCAGCCAAGCAAACAGTTTTTTTTGGAATGTAGTCATGTATGATACACCTGCCATGAGATAAAAATGTTTTTTTTACACTTCTCATCCAAACTAGTGTAGATTATGATACTGCTCCACTATAAATCAATCAGTGCATTGCAATCATCTGTGAGTCACCTCATCACTTCCATCCACTGCAATCCGCGTGTTATGCAATACAAATAGAATACAGGATGTAGAGGTAGCCACAAGGTTTGTGGCCGCTGTCGGCCTAGTGTTGCAACTTTTGATTTCCCAACCAGACCAAACTTCTCTGCAATAGATATAAATGAAGCTGCCAGATAATTATCAGGAATTAAATCTTTAGAATGCATTCAGGTATCTTAATAATTAATAAAAGATCTATCTTATTTGTGTATCACTCGGCTGTTGATCCTCAAATCATCTCTGAATTGGTGCTGACACTGTCCTTCCTTCTGGAGGGGGGCTACTTGTGTTCTCCATGGTCCCTGTGTGTGTTGTAGAGTAGTCACCACTCCAAGATCACTTCTGTGATGGTCTACAATCTCAATACAAATTAGTAAACCAAAATGCGAGATTGTAGTCCATCACAGTAGCGAGCTTGGCCTTTCGGGCTGGTTCACACCTACACTTTATGGGCTTTGTGTTAAAGTGGCAGTAGAATGTCTTAAGATAAAGATTTTTTTTTTAAATTGACCTTTTAGCCAGAATGTGCTAGTATTGTACAGCATATTAGCGTATTTGTCCTCATTCACATATAGCTGCACTGGGGACCTGCGTCACGTTTGTGTGCATATTCTTTCTGTGTATGCTGCGCATCCCCATTGAATTCAGTGGGTTCCTGTACATGTGAGAAGCGCAGAAAAGAAGCTCCTGTAGAAAATTCTGCAACGCACATCCCGCAGGTTTTTTTTTCCTCGTGCGTCTAGTAATGGCAACTTGAGTGCATTTCACATTTGTGCACATTTTTGGAACGCGCGTCAAAGTGTGCATTTTTATACGTCTTTCATGCACATTCCCAAAACGTCTAGGTGTGAATGGAGACTTATGGCAGACTTACTTGCCCAACTGATTCCCCCCCCACCCCAATGCTACACTTTTCCTTTGATGCTTCCATCCTCTCTCCAGTCTTTTTCCAGTTTCAGTCTTCAGCCGCTTGCTTAGCCGGGCCCTAATGATATAACTCCCATGCATGTGTACCAGGGTGGGGTTGGGGGTTTGCGCTCTCGGTATGCCGGGTCCATGCAATAAGCTGTGCATGTGCAAAAAAAATTTGAATGGCAGCCAGAAGCTTCTATTGCAGAATCGACTTGCATAGTCTAGTCTGTCATATAAAGCCTACCAATTGGGGGTTTATTTTTAATAGGGATGCACCGATACTGGTATTTCGGTATCGAGTACCGATATTTTTTTTTCCTGGACTCGCCTATACCGGCGGGCGGCGTGTAATGACTCGCCAACTTGCTTCCTAAATAGCTGGGAAGCCGGTCGGCATGTAAAGACTCTGCACCCGGCTTGCCGATTAGAAGGGAAGCCGTCCCCATGCTTCTCGTCACTAGGTGATGAGAAAGCATGGAGCCGGCTTCCCGACCAATCAGGAAGCTGTGCTCCGTGTAATGACGCGGCACCCGGCTTCCTGATGGGCCCGGAAGCCGCCTCCATGCTCCCTCATGAGGTGACAAGGGAGCATGAAGCCGTCTTCCTGGCCAAGCAGAAAGCCGGGTGCCGCGTCATTACACGCTGCCTGGCTTTCTGATTGGCTGGGAAGTCGGCTCCACGCTCTCTCGTCACAAGTGACGAGGGAGCATGGAGCCGGCTTCCCGGCCATTCAGAAAGCCAGGCAGCGTGTAATGACGCGCTGGCCGGCTTCCTGATACCGGAAGTATCGGGCTAGGCATCAGAGCATTTGGGCGAGTACGAGTACTCGCCCAAATACTCGGCACCGATACTAGTATATCCCTAATTTTTAAGATTCCACTTTAGGAAACCTATTCAATTTGAATGGTCCACAGCGCACAGAAGATGATGCATGCAACAATTTTCTTAACGCAACGTTAGCGGCACACATCATTCACATTTGTGGTGCATTGCAATGCATGTATGCTGCTGTGTGTTGGGTTGCTATTTAGAACGAATGCCTACCTAGTGCACTGCTGTGTGATACATGTTTTGCTGCAATGCCCCGATGTGGACAAGCCCTCCATTTGATGCATTCGGCTACTAATGACCGGCGGGGTTGGGTTACTCTTCATGGGTGATTTATTGAACAGCTGCACCAGACGGATTTTTTTTTTTTCCGTTCCATTTTGTGTGTTCAAGTCTACTGACTGGAGTTTTTCCCCTGCTCTGTAATGCGATGCATTCCCCTCTGGCAGAAATGTGTAAGCAGGGCAGAGCCGTGGACACAGGCACGGGAATCTGCAGGATGGGCCGTGGAAGGCTCCCACCTACGCTTCTTACTGGGAAAACCAGTTTGAGCGCGTGTAAGAAAATTCATGGCGTTGCCACTGTTGTTTTTAAAAAGAGCTAGTCAAAAAAAAAATTGGGCCATTACATTAATGCCCTTACTAGCTCCTATGTCGGGGTTGATTGTTTATGTTCACTAAGAGTAGAACTCTGGGCAAGGGGAATTGGTGAACAGCTACTGGCTTCCAGGAGAAGCTGAATGACGTATCTTCATGTGAATCAAACAGTGCTGCAAGATTCAGCCATCACTTTACAATTCTCTGCCAGCCCTCTCTACTTGTTATTTATCCAATGCATACACATTGCATGTATTATCTACATCTTACCGGTGTGAACCCCTTATCTGTGCAGGGCCCCCCTTGGTAGACAGGAATTATTTTGTTATATGAACAGGACTCTTGTTGCTGATGGCTTTAGTGATGCAGAAGCGTAATAATGTCTCTTCTGAAGACATCTGTATACTTTGTGGGGTCCTCTTTATTCCACAATGGTGTATCTGGTTGCTCTGGATTCCTTTTTTCCAGCTTTAGAAGCTCCTGAGACGAGCATTTGTGATTTGCCAGCTTAGAAATTTGGAGAGCAAAGCAGATACTGAAAAACTGTCCAGTGACCAGCAAGACGCTGCTGGGAAGTCGGAAACGGATTTGAACAATAAAACAGATCTACTTATTAAATTATCTTTGTATAACGTATGCAGATTTTGTTCTTGCATTTAGTGATCATTCTTTGATTCCTCAGGTGAAACGGAAGTTGGATTTGGAAGCGGCTCTCAGATCGGTTCCAGACGGACTTCAAACACCCCGGGGCAAGACGAGAAATCTTGGAAGAGGTCTGAGAATATTAGAATGCTGTATTTTGCTCTGAGGACTAACTGATGTTTTATTCAAAGTGACATTAAACTCCGGAGTTACATATTAAAAATGCATTCAAGTACCTTAACTAGTAACAAAAATGTATCTTATTTGTGCGTCACTCAGCTGTAGATCCTCCAATCATCTCTGAATTGGTGCCGACACTGGCCTTCCTTCTGGAGGGTGGTTACTTTTGTTCCCCATGGTCCCTGCGTGTGATGTAAAGTAGTCACCGCTCCAAGCTCTCTCCCGTGGTGGACTACAATCTCAATACAAATGAGTAAACTAAACATGAGATTGTAGTCCATCACGGGAGCGAGCTTGGAGCGGTGACTACAACACACAGGAACCATAGGGAACAATGATGTAGAGTGTTAAAGCAGATTGTCCGCTAGCATTTTAGAAGTTCAGCGGCAGGCTATGTACTGCTAAGCAAAGGACTCTTTTCTCGGGTCAAGGGACTTTTCCTTTAACAAAAAAAAAAAAAAGTGTTGGGAGTAAAGTATTCTCTTCCCAATACTTTGAGCCAGCATGTGAGACTGCAGCTGTCACACGTCGGCTCTATAGACTGAGAACTGAGAAATCCCAAACCCCTGATCGCTCATGTCAGTCTTCTTGCAGAGAGCAATGACTGTCATTCACCACTCTCCGTAGTGATTTTCCTTCCCCTCTCTTTATTCCTCCAGCGCTCATTGGATGGATAGATGGGGAAAGGGGTGGGCACTGCTGGCTCTAGAGGGCTATTGCCCTCCTGCCAATATGATCGGGATCCACCCAGCTGCCTGACAGTTGGCTCCGCCTCTCTAGATCCAGAGCCAACTGTGCCCAGGCCTCCCCTGTCCGTCCCTCCACCAGTCAGCGCTAGAGGAACAAAGAGAGAGGGGACCCATTCAGATTGCATCCAGGACTG